TTAAAGGTAAAATTAAGGTCACTGATGGATTCCTTCTAATGCCGTTAAATAATGTATCTATTATAATTAGCGTATAGTCATGTAATTACGTAAAATATAAGCTGTTGTATACCGGCTGAAATGAATAAAATCAGGGCTGCAGTTGGGATGTTTGCGTTGTGAAAACGTATTTGGTATTAAAAGAAAAAAAGCCTTTTAGGAGGGAGAATATTAGGGGCAGGCGTCACCGTTGTCCACTAATTGTCCAGAGAGGAGGAAAGAGGCTGGCCAGTGGCACTTATCTTTGATCTGTGTGAACTGCATGCTTTGATCAGTGATGCCACTTTACCTTTTGACCTGTAATCCAGTTCCAATCTACAGTATATGTTTCAGCCATGCATACTGCTTTTTTCCCAAGGACACAGATAGCAGTAAATAGAAGTTGTAACTTTTTCAAACACTATCCAAATTTTTTTTTTAAGTTTCCCTTTTATTCTGATTGGTAGCACTGGAATGCTGAGCTCCACTGTAATTTACTCTTTTGTTACACATTTTTGAGGTTACATAATAACACAGTACAAACAGCAGTAGTGTGCAGTCAGCCAGAAACCACCTTTAATTAGTCTGCAGATGCTAAGCTGCCGAAATCTGATTGGTTGACACAGGTTACTGCATACCATTATTTCTATTAAATAAATACCCTATGTATGTTGTATCTGAAAATGCCTCCTTTATGCCACCATATGGTTATTTTACATTCTGCAGTCCGTTATGGAGGATATCTGATTATGTGGGTAGCACAAATGAACGCTATCTGTGTATGTTAACTTGTTTATATGTTCATACATACTATAGCTTTACATTGAAACCTATTGTCAATATACCTACATGTGAATCATTATTTATTTAAAACAAGTTCCTCTGTATTCGCCAACTGTTCAACCTTCAAAAGAACATCAGCCTCACCTTTCCTACCTCACTCACCCCTGTCTTTTTTTCATAATGTGTCAAATACAGTCATTAATATATATACATTTTTTTTTCATTCACCAGGTTCACGTCTTCGGCAAGAAGATTTCCCTCCTCGCATAGTGGAACATCCCTCAGATCTCATAGTTTCCAAAGGTGAACCCGCCACATTGAACTGTAAAGCAGAAGGCAGACCAGCTCCTTCCATCGAGTGGTATAAAGGGGGGGAAAGGGTAGAAACAGATAAAGATGACCCACGCTCCCATCGAATGTTGCTGCCAAGTGGATCTCTATTTTTTTTACGAATCGTCCATGGACGCAAGAGCAGGCCGGATGAAGGGGTCTATGTCTGTGTGGCTCGGAATTATCTTGGGGAGACAGTGAGTCGCAATGCGTCACTTGAAGTTGCCAGTAAGTGACAATATCTGCATTCTTTTATGTGTTGGATGAAAACAATCTGCTTTGTTTAGTTGTGTTTCAGTTAATCATTTATTTCTATTTCTGCTTATTTTAAAAGCAGTTCAGTGAAGGATTGCCAAGAAGGGAGATAGGGGCAAATGTCCCTTGGATTGTTCTTGTTTTTAATATGTACCGTATTTGCCGCCGTATAAGGCGACTGGGCGTGTAAGACGACCCCCTGCTTTTTCTGTTAAAACATAGGTTTTGGGCTATACTCGTTGTATAAGATGAGTATAGCCCAAAATAATGTTTAAATACACCCACTAACCTCCATGGCGGTATTCCCGAATGCGGCTCGGGGTTATTTTCAGTACCATAAGCGGTAACCCCGAGCCACACTCGGGATTACAGTCTCTCAACTTGTCTCCGATCCCCGTTGTGTCCTCCGTCTTCCGGGTTCCGTCATATTCATTAATACAAAGCCTGCCTGATTGGCTCAGCGCGGTATACTGCATGTAGCCGAAGCTACCGTACATACAATTGAAAGCATTTTGTTATATCTGTTTGATAAGTGCAAACAAAATGTTGATCCTGCCAGAAAGCTTCTGAGCTGATAACTTTAGGTGTTCTCTGCCTCTACTGCATCCTTTTTAATTACATTGTTCCCAGTTATCTGTGTGGTCTACAACCGCCCACCCAATGTTATTAAGAGGAAGAAAGGGAAGTGCTCTATGGTCCTATCTAAAGACGGGTAAACACCTAACAGTTTGCTCCAAGCTTGCTCCTGTAATGGACTACAATCTCACGTTTAGTTTACTCATTTGCATTGAGATTGTAGTCCATCACAGGCGTGAGCTTGAAGCGGGGGCTACTTTACAACACGCACATGGACTATGGGAATCAAAAGTAGCCACCCACCAGAAGGAAGGACAGTGTCAGCACCAATTCAGAGATGATTTGAGGATCTACAGCTAAATGATGCACAAACAAACTACATTTTTGTTAATAGTTAAGGTACTTGAATGCATTTTTAAGATTTAACTCCTGATTTTAGTGTCACTTTGAGTAATATTGAGTGAACTCCAAGAAAATAAAAATGTGCACTTCACTTTATAAAGTTTTTAAAGTTCCACAGAGCCCCAAAGCACTTGTTTCTTCAGATATTATATTCAGCTCCAGAATTTGAACATAGGCTTCTGCAACTCACTATTGGTCAGTTAAACAGTCCATCACAGTAATGAATTGATAGGGAGCCGGTAGAGGTGGTAGGAGGTGGTTACAACCTTGCTTTCAGAATCTGAAGTTAGTATTTGCCTACTTTGAGTACCTCCGGTTTCAGGGCTCCTGGAGAACGTTGAGAGCTATACTAATGTATCTACTGCTACCAGTACATGCATTTGTTCTCTGCTGACAGAATATTTGCTATAACTTGAGTACACATACACTTTAAGTTATACTGGACCTTTGAACCTACAATTATAATGTAGTTATAATCTACATTTATATGGTAAATGCAGAGTGCTGGAAATGTAACCATATCAATTTATCTTCAACATTCTAGATACATAAATTGAAAGCACATACCCCCAACTTAAAACTGAGAAAATATTTTCATGCATGCAGAAACAAATTAAGCTTTGTTTGCAAAAGAGCTTTGAATTCAATTTCCTTTCAAAGCTCATGAGTAATACACAAGTGCTCTCCATACCACTTGTACATGTAAATTCAGGCACACCTGTATTTTACCCTTATTTGCACTTATTTTTACTGGAAATGTTAAAGGACCAGTAAATGTCAGATGCAAATAACCTTTCAATTAACTTGCTGCTAGTAACATTCACATTTCATTCTCACTGAGGATTGCACCAGGGCCAGACTTGTTGGCAGGGGGTCAGCTGTATGTAGCCAAATATGTCACCAAATAATTACAACACATGCCATTGTGATGACTTCTGCAAATGGTTTATTTGAGAATATTATTAATGTCTCAATATTATTAAAATCTCAAAATATTATTAATGTCTACATCTCAAAGAATAGAATATAAAAATCACGACTCCACATAGCTCTGTCTACTATTCACTAAAACTCCACTCTTATCCAACCCAACATGCCCTCTGTTTGATAAAAACCTTTAAAATGTCCATTCTACATATGAGATCATAAAATTGACTGGAGAGCCCAGTCAATTTAGCAACAATTGTTGATTTTTTTTTTTGTATTTAATGTCAGTGATTTAGGTTTACTGGCCCTTTAAATTGTATCTGAACCAAAGAACAAAAATTTAAAATAATTTTACCCACAGAGATTGCTGGGAAAAATGTAACTGATAAGAGTGCAAGACTTCTTGCAGGGTTAAAATGGTTGTTGTTGTTGTTTTTTGAATTTATCAAACAGACATAATAAAAGGTTTTCAGTGGTATATGTAACAGCTCAAAAGGAAACAAATAAGAGAAGTTTATTGTTAGAGTTTACATTCCCTTTAATGTTAAACAACTTAATTTGGGGGAGGGGGGGTCAGCAATAGCATTTATTTGTATTTGTCTGATCGACTGGGAACAGGAAAAGGCTTCAGTGTTTGTAATGGTTTCCATTTAGCCTTTCACTGTAATCTTATCAGGTTGACTTGGAACAGAAGTCACTTGCATATTTAGAAACTGTCAAGTAAATTTAATATGCTGGAGTAAAAACTCTGACACAAGCCAAACTAAACTGGCCTATTGACGTGATCCACATAAAGTGTGAAAAACCGAATGGTATCATTAATGTCCAATACTTTGTATGTAATAAATATTTGATATGTTAGCTGAGTGGGACAGATTGGGTTTGGTCCAGATTAGACTGCCGTCTTAAAATGAAATAAATTACCTTTCTTTTCTGTGCCTGATTTATTTCACACATTTGAGCTAAAAAAACACTAGAAGATGAGAGCATTACAGTTTAATTTGGAATAATTATTTCTTGGGTTCTCAACGATATTTTCTTACTGTGAAGGCCATTGTTGGGGTTGTGGTTTTTTTCCCCCCGCAGTCATTGTTATTCTTTGGCTGGTTGTATTAATACATACTGCTAAGCTTTTTATCAGTGTTTTGATATATTTTTGCCGCTTTATGCCAAAACAGAAGAATATCAGAGATGGAACAGTCAGGGGGTGAATTAAATAAAACCAATATTTGTTTATACTGGGCAAAAGCCCTTGATTTTCTGGGGAATCCAATCTACATTCTGTTGGCCTTGTAACCTCTTGTTAAGTTGCTGGTGTGTTGCCGATTTATTTTACTAAGCGCCTGTCTAGGGATCTCACAGTTTCACAAGAATACTTTTCCATATCTACTCTATGATACATTCCAGGGTCAGTTTACTGCACGATTTTAGCTATAAGCAAAGATCCCCACTGACTTACATCTGGATATGATGATTTTTACAGGTAAAATTGATCAAGTGGCAAAAAACCTATTAGTGCACCCTGTGCTTTCTTTCAGGTCTGCAGATATGGGGCCCTAGGGAAGTAAGCAGCTTTGCTCTGATGTGCCGGCCAACTGCTGAGCCTGCAGTAACAAACAAATTGCCACTGCAGGCACAGCAGACACTCCAGAACACCATTATCATATTAGGACATAAGCCAAAGAGTCCAAAACCAACAGATCTAACAATACCAAAGCCCTGAAGAAGGAAGAGCCCAAGTCCCCTGAAATGCATTGGATTTGTTTCATGTCATACAGTAATAAAGTGATTATTGTTATTCAACTGGCTAAAATATCCAAGACTTCCTATTAATTCAAGGCACTCCTCACCCACCTCCACAGTCTGCAATATTTTAATTGTCTGCGCTAACATTGTCTGGTTCATCAGACATGATATGCCTATAAGTTGATTCTACCTTGTGAGTAGAAACACATTTGGCCAGTTGCCCCACCCCCCTAGTATACTGCAGCAGCAAAAAGATTGTAGTTGGGCCCTCTGGACATCCACTGGACCCTAAGCTTATGTCTCAGTAGCCTTGTGGATGATCTGACTGTTCAAGGGGCATATTCCTTTTTTCCCTAGATTTACACTGTTGTGTTGCAGTACTGCATATATTAATGCACCACATGTGTTTGTGTGATGCATTGCGATTCATTCTAAATGGCACCACAATGTGCCTTGCCAACGATCTTACTGATTGACGCATTGCAGAGCAGTGCCCTGCCAAAAAATGAGCAAGCACCATTTTTTGTGCGTTAGGCAGCTACAATGGGGTGAATGGACCCTAAGGGCTGGACAATTTCCAGAAGCTTTTTCCAGAGCCTTTCCTGTTGCTGTTATTGAAAGACAAGCTTTTCTGATCTTTTGAAGTGCCTGTTGGCATTGATCATAATTCTTCTTGTGTTTATTAGCTAAATGAGGTTTACATGTCCATTTTTTTTTATATCTTGTGTAAGCCATTTGTGTGTATGGTACAGGAGGTGTTGTTATAATAATGAATTCACAGTTGTATTGGAGACCTGAGGTGTTTAGCACTCTCCAGGTTATTTTTATCTGCTCGGTGCCTCTGAGGGACCGAGCAGAACAGCCGAGCCAAATGCCGCTCGGCGGCATTCGGCTATTCTCTCACTGCTGTTCGGGATCTTTCAGAATAGCCCGAACAGCAGTGTGAAGCCTGCCGGAGGTTCGGCTCCAGATGTTGGATCGGCGGAGTCGGACTCCTTCTGCACTTCGGGTCAGCCGAACATGCTGAGCATGTTCGGCTGATCCGAAGCCACACGAAGCAAGCCGATGTATGGCTGATTTCAGCCGATATACGGCTGAAATCAGCCGTACCAGCCTGAAGTGAATAGCCGAACGGTGTTCGGCTCACTTCACTTCTGATCGGTCATTCACTCGGCTGCCCTCGGCAGCTTTGTGAATAGACCCCTATGTTTCAATATCTTTTCCATTTATACATACTATATGTCCACAGTATTCCATTACTGTGTTGTTGGCCTCCAGCACCCCCTGCTGTGATGCTATTTCATGAATTCAGCATCTTTCAC